GAAGGAGAAGGAGAAGGAGAAGGAGAAGGAGAAGGAGAAGGAGAAGGAGAAGGAGAAGGAGAAGGAGAAGGAGAAGGAGAAGGAGAAGAAGAAGAAGAAGAAACAAATATAGAGACTAACAGCCAGACATTACACAAAGAGTGAGAAACCTTGGAACACACAGCCCTAAAAGGAATGTCTCTATCAAATCCCTTCCCTTCAGAACTCAAGAAACCCCTCAAAAGTGGAGACAGAAAAAGTAAAAGAGCCAGAGGGGATGGAGTACACCAAGAAACAAGGCTGTGTAAATCTACATGAGCAAAGTTCATATGAACTCACAGCGAATGAATCAGCATGCACAGGAATTGTACAGGTCTGCACCAGGTCCTCTGCATACATCCTGTAGCTTCTGATTTAGTGTTTTTACAGGGTTACTGAGTGTGTGAACAAATGGGTCTAATTCTCGTGCCTTCTCTTGGGCTCTTTTCCTTCTGTTGACTTATCTTGTCCAACTTCAATGTGATGGTTTTTGTTTTATTATATTATATTTTGGTTTGCTATATTTAAAAACAAATGGATGGATGGGTGGGTGGATGGGTGGAATGAAAACATAGTCACTAGGGTAAAGGTTAACAACTGAAATGTCATTTATACTTGCTGGGAGAGGGGAAAAATCAGTTTTCACCAAAGGAGTGACACTTGGTATATCACCCACTCTAGAGCAGGCAGGCCTCATGTTCATGTGTAGTTGATCAGTGTATAATGGACTCCCCAGGTTTCTTATGCTTTTATTTGGTTACAATTTGGTGTTTTGTTTTGTTATTTTAGTGTTGGGGTTTTGTTTTATTTTTGTTTTCTTGGTTTAGGTGTTTTTGTTCTTGTACTGGGTTTTTGCTTGTTTTTTATAAAGAACTTAAAGTTGGGTGTGTAGGGAGGGGAAAGGATCTAGAAGGACTTGTAAAAGGGAAAGAATGTGATCAAAATACGTTTAAATTTAAAAATCAGGGCTGGAGAGGTGGCTCAGTGGTTAAGAGCACTGGCTGCTCTTCCAGAGGACCTGAGTTCAATTCCCAATAACCACATAGTGGCTCACAACTATCTATAATGGGATCTGATGTCCTATGCTGGTAAGCAGAGCACTCATAGATAAAAAAAATATATAAAAATAAATTTTCAAATCACTTTAAATAATAAAAAACATTATAAAGAAGAAGGGCAATTTGTGCTAAAGATGAGATAGCAAATGAAAAACTAGAGATAAACTCTGTGAATGGACACAACCTTCATCGGCATACCTGAAGGGTTAACATCAAATACCAACAAGGACTAT